AATAAAAAATTTTATTTTGATATATTAATATATTTCTTTGATTTTTTTAAAGCTTTTATAATAAATTAAAAGAAGTATGAAAATTTTTTAAAAAAATTCTTATAAAAGAAATTTTTAAGAAAAATATTATATATATAGAAAAAAGTTTTTTTTTTTTAATATTATAAATTTTCATATGAATTTTTGTTATAAATTATAAACAAAAACCAAAATTTTTACTATAAAAATTTTTTTAAAAAAATTAAATATAAAATAAATAGAAATGTTGAAGCTTATAAAAAAATTATAAAATATTTATTATTATATTTAATAAAATTAATTTTAAAAAAATCTTTAAATTTTTTAAAAAATCTATATTTAATATAAATTTATGTTTTTTTGGTTAAATTTTATTAAATTTTAAATTAAATTAATTAATAAATAATTTTTTAACTTAATGACTTATAGGTCTATAGTATACATGTGATGTAAATTATTTTGCTGTTAACTCAATTGCCAAAATTCTCAAAAATAATTACGTCTAACTCAATTATTTTATATGTTTTAATAGTGACTCAATTAATTGTGTCAAATAATTGTATCAAATTATATTAAAGATCTACCAATTTCTATCACATGTATAATCTATAATTATGGTTCCGAAAATTGGAATTGCATAGACTCGCATGGACTCATATATATATAAAAAATATAAGTGGATTATAATTCACCTATTAAATTTACTATAAGAATTGGAATCGAATGGAATCGAACATAGAATCGTTAGGATCCTTATCTATAATATAGTGATAATACTCTATATATTATTAGAAAAAAGTCTAGGGTTCAAACCTGCTTGATTATAAAAATTTATCACAAAAAGTCAATTAGGCTATATAAAAATGAGATTTCTGGCCTTTCTGGTAATTATGGGGTTGCAATAGATCACAAAAAAGGAAAGAATTGCATAAAGAAAAGCTTCTGATCTAATTTCGATTAAACCTATAATTATATTACATAAACAATAACACATTTGATATTACAGACTGGATTGTATATCATCTTAATTAATTCCACTTGACCTTTATTCAAATGGTATGTTGGAATCCTAACTTGAGCAATTCCAATCTAATATAAAGCTTAAATGATAGTATCAGTCACAAGTAATAACAAAAATCATGGTTTGTATAAGCCCAGAATTGATACAAATTATAATTTAAAGGCCAAATAATAAGGTGACAAAGGCATTTGAACCAATCTCTTTAATTAAGACTTCTTGAAAACAAAAATAAACCAAATGGGTTAAGTAGTTTAAAACTAGTAATAAGATTTCTATACCCTATAGATTTCAGCCTGATATTTTTGAGGTTAATCATCAAGTGGTTTAGAAACCTGGGTATCAGAAGAAAGGTGATATACAGTGGATGGCCAAAAGTTATCGAACAGTTTAAAAAAAATTTTTTTGGAAAGTTCTATGACTTCCAATTTACGTGAAATTGTATCATAAACAAGTTATAGTTATATAGTTATTTATTTACATTTTTCTTTATTTTTTATATATTTATTTAATTTATTATACATTAATTTAATTTAATTCTTTTTTTTTAGGCGATTTACAAGAAATGCCAAGAAAAGAACTAACAGAAGCACTAAGGGCAGCCAATATTTACAGACATATCTGTGATGATTCTTATATCCAAATAGTTGAAAGAGTTGGTTGTGGTCGTACTACAGTTTTTGATACTATAAAATGCCATGTCAAACCAAATTCTACTGTACCGAAACATCAGATCAAGTAACCTCGTCTCGTCAAGGCATTACAATGCAACCATTTCAAGAAAATGATTACTAAAAAAAATTGTCATCTTACAGTTAACAAAATACAAACTCTTTGGCAAAAAAAAACTGGTCAAATACTTTCCATACGTACTGTCCATCGTACTCTTGGTCTTATGGGCTTAAAAAGTTATATCACTTAATGCAAACCTTTGATTTCACTGAAGAATATCGAAGCATGGTTGGCATGATGTAAAGAACATAAGAATTGGATGACAACGATTGGTCCAAAGTATTATGAAGTGATAAATTAACATTTTCACAGTTCTAGCAACTTCGAAATAGCTGTGTTTAGAAAGAACCAGGAGAAGAGTGGCTTCTGGATTGTGTCGTGAAAATTGTCAAGCACAGTTCAAGTCGAATGCACTGGAGGTGCTTTTCATGACAAGGAGTGGGTTTGATAGTTCCATTGTGTAGTTCTGTAACTGGAAAATCATATACTGAGATTCTTCGTAAGTATGCATTGCCTATATTATAATATATGTTTCCCAATGGTGACTACTGGTTTCAAGATGATAATGTGCCACCTCACCGTTCAAAAGTGGCTACAGAATTTTGTAAAGAAAAAATTGTTTATTCTCTTTCGTGGTCTGCACAAAGCCCAGACCTAAATCCAATAGAAAATCTTTAAGCTAAGATCAAGAAGAGTATTCAAAGTCATAAAAATAAGTCATATAATTTAACAGAACTTAAAAAGTTTATCAAATTTGCATGGAAAAAAATCTCTGTATCGATGATCAAATCACTGGTGGATAGCATATCAAGACAGATATTGGTTGTGATTTCGGCATATGGGGACTTACAAAATATTAATATATTAAATATATTAATAAAATAATATATATTTAAAAAAAATTTTTTTTAAAAAATATAATCAGTAAAAAAAAATAATTTACTATTAATATTTGAACTGTTCAATGACTTTTGACCACCCACTATATAAGAAATAATTTATATAGAATATATAATGTATTGGCTTGTATAAGTCCTTGGTTATAATGAAAATGATATAATATTATTAGTAAAAAATCAATATAGCAATCGTATTTAGTATTTTTAAAAATAATAAAAATAATAATAATAATTTTTTAATTTAATAAAAAATATACATATATAGTATATATTTATTATTATTATTATTATTTTTATAGAAGAATGACATTAGATACATAGTTTTTATTGAATTATTTATCAATTTTTACATATATATCAAACATCATCTATTGTTATTACAACAGCTAAATGCTAGCCTATCTACTTTTATTATCCTAGTGATACTAATGCCACTTTTGGAATAGGTTCATATATTTTTGGAGAACTTATCTAGGGGATGAAAATCTTATCACTAGTTTTAAACTATCCAACCTACTGGTCCATATTTATATAAGGATAATGAATCCTGTTTGACTATTTCCTAAGGTTGTTTATTACATTATACCTTTTTACTCACCTAATCTTATAGCAGAGGACCTCCAACATAATGTGTTCTCTAGTGAATTGCTTCGGTTTTGACTGCTGATTGGCTTTTAGCTATCAAATTCAGGAGCTCTTATGGCCAAGTGGGATGTGACTTCTTAAGGGATTTCTTTTCTGGATCCTCTCCTTCTAAGTAATTCCTTAATCTCCTAATAGATACTCCATGCAGATCTGGTTGGTTTAGGCTACCAAATCTAGGGGTATAAATATCAAGCAGGGCATAATTCTTTATAAAAACTACTAATTAGTACTGCCATACAAAAGTGATGTCAATATAATATTCTTCTTTAAAGCTTCCTTATTTGACAATTAACAGGAAAGGAATGTGTCGTACGGGATTGAATAAAATAGAGTATAGCCCAATCTATATATCCAAATAAATAATTATGGTTGATAGTTAATAAGAGTTGGCTAAGATGAAGTACAGTTCAGTCTATACATCCAAATAAGTGGTGACACCTTTCGTTAACGATTATTGTGACATCAACCAGATAATTGTCACACCACTGTACTTTAACAGGAAAATCACAATCTTAATGTTTGCTGGATCAATATGTAAAATGGCTTCTTATAAGAAATAATATATAATTGGTTATGGTGCCAGATACTATATTAATCTGTTCAATTACCTTTACATGAAATTGAACTGGTATCTTGTAATCTGATCTGTGAAGCACTAACTACTATACTATAGATTTACAGGTCATATTTATTATTATTATTATTATTTTTATTTAATAAATTTATATATATAAATAATTTTAATAATTTTTTATTATTTTATTTTATAGTACAATCAAAATTATTTATATTTATATAAAATTTTTATTAAATAAACTTATTTTTTATGTTTTTAACTATATTAATATAAATTTTATTTTATTTTATTAATTAATTATCAAAATATCACAAAAATAAAATTTAATATATTGTTCAATTATTTTTGATTCATACTATAGATACAAAAAAATCAAAATCAACTTATTCTTTTTTAAAAAATTAATAAATCTTTTTTTACCAATTACAATTTATTAAATTATATTATTAACTATTATTATTACAATATAAATAATAACAATAATATATATTAAATTAAAGTATCGAATTATTGAAATAATATTAAAAATAATATTATTAGAAATCCTAGTTCTGTTTGACCCTATGGCCCCTAGATTTGATAACTAATATTAATTGAAACTCTTTAAAAAATTTATTAGAAAATTTAGAAATTATGTTTCAATTGTTTTTCAATTTCTAGATTTGATAAATTGATTTTTAATTCAAAAATTAAATTAATAATTTAATATACTATGCGTGCGTATATTAATATAAGCAATTGGTGATACTGTTTTCTATTTTTAATTTACAAGTTAAAAAGGAGTATGTATATTCATTCATATGATTTTATTAATAATCTAAGAGCTAATTTGATCCAATTCGAGAAATTTTTTTACATTAAAAAAAAAAAAATCAGGTTAGCATTAATTTATACATTCGTATAACCCCATAAAAACATGCCACATAAGTCTTTTTAATCTCTTCTCAAGATTTTTTTTTGTCTAACCGTTATTTGTCTTCCTAGTCAATTGTTAATTATTCGGCACTTTAGAGTTTCTAGAACCCCGAAAAATGGCGTAATCACGTGAATTGTGGATGCACCAAAGTATATAACTATGACTACATAGGAGTTCTAGTGATGTTTCCAGGAAATGTTGATCTCCGGACTTGCAAGAGTGGCACAAATCAGACATTCTCTGAGAGCACTATTTTCACTAGCGTTACTTCAGGCAAAACAAAAATTAAATTTTGACGGTGTTTTTCGCACGCAATTTGCTTTGGAAACGGGAGAACCCTCAGAAAATGATCAAAACAAGAAAAGGATTGGAAGGGAAATGCCAGTCAAGCCAAACTATCGCGCCCCAAGATTACCTATTGTTTTATGTCATGGTAATCGTTCAATTGGTTTATTTTTGTTTATTTTCTTTTTGCATAGGTTAATTCAGAAAACTAAAGAGTACTTATATTTTTACGCATACGACGCATCATACAATGAAGGCCTTTTTGGTTTTGATAAACTAGGTAAAAATTATGTTCACTAGTTACTTAAATCAGATCTAAATCTTCGAATCGCGTTAAATTCATTATTAATTGATTTCAAAGGGCCAGCCTCAATTCCATATTTGCAAATTCGATATTGGGGTAGTATTCAAGAAGCTTTACAAAAACTTGGTGCAAAGGTGATTGTTACTAAAGTTCCCAGGTACTTACATTTGAGATTAATCGAAAGAATGATATCAGACTACAAAATAACCACACATTGAATTCTATTTCCGAAAGAACCGGCTGTGTTCGATCTCGTGCTCAAACTCTGCATCACACCTTGGAAACAACTCTTCCCGGGATGGATGTGAACCTGCTTGCACATTCAATGGTCAGTATTCAATTCATTTATGTTTGATCGATTAATTATTAATCAATTATTGATTAATTGATGGATTCACCGGGATTTACAGGGCGGACTTGACTGTAGATATTTGATTGCACATCTTCCTACGAGGAATTGCACAGTTCGCTCGTTAACTACGATATCCACACCTCATTGTGGAAGTGCATTTATGGATTGGTGCCGAGATAATTTTGGAGTGGGCGTAAAATCGGTTGAAGCCGCATCCAAAGCCGTGGATGACGCACTTACACAAATAACCCAAAAAACACGAAATTTGGAAATTTCTAATACTTCAGAACAACGAAGTCCAGAGAATCGCGAAGAGAAAAACACGAAAAGTGATGCAAAAAACAAGAAATCATTTAGCATACCCATTCTTAATTTTACACTTCCAGATTTGAATTTTAACCTCTCTCTTCCAAATATCAACCTCCCTAGTATTAATCTATCTTCTATTCCTCAGACTACGTCCACTCTCTTACATCCAGTCACACGATCCATAATACAAGCATTGGACACACCCGCATACAGTAATCTAACAACAGATTATTGTACAAATTACTTCAATCCCAATACACCAAATAACCCTTCTGTCGCGTATTATTCATACGGAGCTGCAATAGATATTCCTATTTGGTCGCCTCTTTATTTTCCTTATCAAATAATCAAAGCAAAAGATGGACCAAATGATGGGCTAGTAAGTGTTAAATCAGCACAATGGGGCAGATATGTTAAAACCGTAGAATGCGATCATTGGGATTTAACCGATAGATGGAGGATTAAGTTTGGATCAAATTTTGATCCAGTTGAATTCTACATAAGTGTGGCAACATTCTTGGCTGCAGAAGGATATTAATAAAATCTGTATTCTAAAGGTTGAAATTTTTTAGCCACGCATATAAAGTAATAATACCCGTAAACCACGTCGTTTATGCATTGTCACGTAAACATAATAATAAACTTGCGTGACGTTTTTAAACATTTACATTTTATTCATTTTATTTTATTTGATAATATTATGCAAGTACGAACTGGTTATTTTATTGGTCGGCGTTCGAGAGCAATGTGATTGTCACGTGATTAGATTGGGTGGCGCGAAGACGCGAATTCCGATTATGAGAAAACGCGACAATTATTGACACAACGCGTTGATTAAAATGTTCATGTATCGTCACACAACGGATTATAATACTTAAGTAAACTTTCCTTCTTGGAACCAATACTCTTTCTACCACCGATCACCGAATAAAAAAAAAAAATGGAAATTGCTCATATATTAAATTCTAGAGACTTTACGCCGGATTGCAAGAAATGTACCTATCTAATAGATATCTCTCAAGAAAAAAAGTTGGAAAGCTCGTTACCTACAGAGACTTCCTTTCTTCCTGATGCGAGAAACCAACATCAAACGACATTGACTACAAAGGGCAAAGCGCACAAAAAAAGGCAAATTTTTGCACCTTTGGCCACAAATTCAATTAATTCAATCGACACAAGGTCATGCGAATCAAAGTCACTGAAGGAACAACAAGCCATAAATTCTCGAAAGCATTCGTCGGCAATCGCTAAAACTCGAAAAATCAGCGACCCTATTTACAATAGAGATGATAGGATGCTTGAATGGGTTTATGCGCAACGAAAAGAGTTTCCGAATCGCCGATTTTATTTTGACGACAGCGTCAAGACAAATAAAAATCAGATGAAGCAGGGTATCAAAATGCTCGGAGCTGTAAGTGAAAAATGGGTTTTTTTATTTTTTATTTTTTGAGAGATGATAACTATTGTTACACCTTTTTAATTGTATTGTGGTGTATAGGAGCACGTTTCATTCTACGATGTTGAAAAAGTAACGCATATAGTCACCTCAAGAGAAGTGCCGAAAGAAGATAACAAGGAAAATAAACAGCGTGAATCACACGAAGACATCAACGAAAAGGTCGACATGACTCTTTGTTTGCCCAAGGGAACAAGCATGTCAACAACAAAAATCGCGCAAAAAAGACCACTCGAGTCAACCAAGGTCAACAACATAAGTGCTGCACAACCAGGCACGCAGAGGAAGAAATTGAAAACACCTAGAGCCAATGCAGGAGGGGGCGGATTACGGGGAGGTTCCAAAGAGAATGTTAATATTTTATCACAATTTTTTCCTAAGCAAAACCAAAATGGTACATTGACAACCAAGGAGATAAAAGCCGCGTCCAAAAGACCTTTTGAATCAGGCCTGCAGAAGTATGTTAAAGATTTGGATTTAGTGCACGTGATTTAGCGTAATGCTGATATTTCACTTAATCTATAGACTTAACGTTGACAAAAAATTGTTAGAATCCATCAATGCTAACGTTAGTGAACATGGTATTTTGATATTTGCGCGTTCTTTTTCTCTCCCCTTTGTGTAATTATTATTTGTATATATTTACAGGCAATGACGGACATCGATCTTGCTGCTGCTCAAAGGAGTGGAATCACGG